CTTCCTAGAATACAAGATTCTTCCTAGAATCTCTGAAAAAAGACACTTCAATGATTTCTTTCTTAATCAACTGCTCTCAAATCACGGAGCCTTTCCTAGTTACTTTAATAGATTCAAACTCAAGACTCCGCCCAGTCGCTGTACATGTGGACAAGAAACAGCGGACGCACTGCATTCTTCACTGTCCGAGTTTGGACAGAAAAAGAAATGAACTTTTTCCGCAAACCTTGACTTTCGACCTTCTATGCAAATTAATTCTATGAGACAAAGGTCGCCAACTGCTTTCCAAATTTATGGAATTCCTGTATTCCAATGAGAACACAATCTATGTATAACATAAAATATTTGTGGCTTGAAAATGTATTTCTAATATTTTGATTTTCTATTATATGCTTAACTTTGTATTTTATTTTCTGTTCGAACCGTAACAAAACTTATGATATCTTTCTTTCGTTTTTGTTTTGGTTTGATTTAAAAAAGTTGGCGGTACTCTGAGGCCAACGAAATTAAAGTTTTAATATATCCGTTTTTATAGTTTCTACTAGCCGTGTCCCACAATGCAGTATTCCATTCTTATGTTATTAGTGGCACAGATCCACCAATTCGTTGGTGTCAGCATTTGGTCATATTACTGCACCAGCAGTTAAAATGTCATCTTAGTTCACCTCCAGCTCCATCATCTTCATTATGGATACAATTTCATCGACATGTGGCGGCTTGTGTTCCTGAACAAGTCCCTCAAATTCTTATCCATGAAAAATTCAGATCATAGTTTTCATCATCAAAATCCTTCAGTGAAAAGAAAAAGTAATCAATGGCTTAGACATGAAGCTCAGTAGACAAAACATACAGGTATTACTCAGATTTTCAAGACATTGGTCATTTAACAAGTTATTATTTTTTAAATTTTATTTCTCAAAACATCAGCAAACCAAGCTATTCTCAATCCGGATTTTTACTGCATGTATAACTTTGACAAATAAAGATATACATTTTTTTAATTTTAATATTAACATTATTATTGCAGTTGTTTATAAGGCTGCAATAATACACACAAATATTATTTGCATGTTAGTTCATGAAATCAGTAGGTGGATTTTAAAAAATAATAATTACGTTTGTGAAAAGCTTTGTTTTCATGAAGCTGCTTATGTGAGCAAATTCTATTTGTCTTCAGCTTTTTAGGTTGAAATGTTTAACCTGACATTTAAAAAAAGCAAGGCTAAGTTTGTAGAGTCATTAGGATTTTTTGAAAGCAGGACGTGTGAAAATTGAGCAGTACCCTCACTGGGACTCGAACCTGGACCTCTCGAATACGTACCAAGTGTGCTGACCATTACACCACGAAAGCATGCTGAAAAGGTGGGAGAAATACTTTACATGCTCCCCCTTTTAAAGGGCGACTGGGGATTAGAGGATCCAATCGCAAAATCCTGGTAGTGAAGAATCATCATCCACCACATTTTTTTTAGCTTGGGCGCTACTGTAGAGACAGGTTTTTTTGAATCAGGAATTGAAGAAATGTGCAATGCCCTCGCCAAGACTCGAACCTCAGACCTTTCGAATACGCTCCGAACATGCTGACCATTACACCACGAAGGCATGCTAAGAAGACAGGAGAAATACCTCATACGTTAGATTCAGAGTATAGCCAGATCTTTTGTCGCCCATTAGAAAATCAGTAAAATATCAAAATAACTCGTTGAAAAACAAATAAGAGCTCTCTCTCTCTCTTTTTTCTTTCAAAGTTTTTAGAATTCTAAGTACTACTTTGCATGCTTTTTTTGTGTTAGCAAAATCATTGATGACATTCTAAAAGTTTGTTCCGCTATCCCAGTTGCTCTTCTGAAAACAGTACAAGAAGAATTAAAAACAAGATTAAATCAAGGTGCTGATTTTTAGATGTTGGGCGCTTTTTAGGCAATTTTTTTTTTTTTTTTTTTTTTTTTTTTTTTTTTTTTTTTTTTTTTTAACACTCCTTTTACAGCAAATAATACTTAGCGGCAGTTGTGAAGAAAATTCCCAGTAGTATTACAATATTTGAAACTGAGTTTTGGAAAATGTATTTTAGAATAAATTGCAAAATTTCAAAGTGACCATCCTTTCACTTTTCTGTTCCCTTTTCCTAAGCAGTAACAAAAAAAAAAAAAAAAAAAAAAAACCCTCTAAATTGTTTCTCTCTAAGTGAGGAACTTTTCCATACTAATGTCATCGTGATCGTAATTTAATTGAAATTTAATTTCGTAATCGTAATTTAATTTTTCATTTAAGTTCTGGTGCGGTAAGGAAGACATAACTAGAGCATAAAGGCTGTTAAAATCTCTGTATTTTCTTCAAATATTCTGTTCAGTGTAAAATCAACTTCTCTAGTCAGTTTCGTATGGCAGTTCATCATGTCTTGGCTCTTCACCTGAACAACCAAGTGGGTAAGGTGGTTGGATATTGGTAGTTTGACTTGAGGTCAAATTCCAAAGAATGGACAAGCTGCTTGAACATTTTCATGGTTTGGCTTATGCATTACTTAGGGTGTTCCTAGTTTTTAAACCCTTCTTGTTCCCTTTAGTCCTTCGTGAAAACATCCCCTCTTCTCTCCTTAGATAGCTAATTACAGTGGGTTTTGTTATAATCCAATAAATCTCAGTCCTCTTATCTTCTTGAAGATCCATATGATTAACCCCTATAATAAGTTTCATTTGAAAAATGCTGCCTTCTTCACCGAAATGACCCACTTCCTCTTTTTACAGAGCATATGCAACCATTTAGATCATGCCAAAACACTCGAAGCTTATCTGTCTGAAGGGAAGATACTTTCATGGATGATTGTCTACAAAAGTTTGGCTAATATTTATGTACTCAAAAGAGAAACTGAAGTGAACTCAGCAGTGAACATTCAGCTCTTTCAACTGCTAAATCAAATAAGAATCAAAACCAGGCTAACTATATGTATTAATATTTTGGGTTTTCAGCCTCTCGACCACTGGTATTTCAGCATTTAAAATAGATAACATAATTACGTAAAAAGGGTCGCCCAGGTGGTATAGTGGTTAGGGAAGCCTGACTGCGATACCGAAGGGCCTGGTTTCGAAGCCCGGAGAAAGCATGGTTGTAACTGTCCGTCCCTTTACAGGAGGCGATGGTGGCCCACCTATTAGGTTCCTCCATAATAAAGAGACCACCACATCTGGCCTTGCATAGATTAGTGGACTGTGTTACACTGCAACTGTTCACAATCTGCCATTGGAAAAAAAAAATTACGTAAAAAGGTGCAAATCAAGTTATGGAAATAACCTTTTAGTATTAAATTTTTTATTGTTTTATTTGGTTTCTTCTTCCGCCGACCCATTAATAATTCTACAAATTCTTGAAATAAATTTAGCTCTATGATTTATTCGTTATGATATGAAGCAAATGTATGTATGGATTTATAAAAATAACAATTATGGCTTGCCATCTCCTTAAGTTCTATTAGAAACTGACATTTTTAGTGCTACAGTCAAATCCCGAAAATTCGCCGACCTGAAATCCGCGTCGCCTCTCAAAATATAAACATTCAGTTTATAGGTTCCGGAAACCGCAACATGGAGTACGAAATATCGAAGAAAAAATACTTACCGAAAAATGGCATCATAATTACAATAATAATGAGTCACAGCGCCGGCGCAAGGTTATCCGGCGCCCGCCTGCAAAATGGCTGAAGTCGCCCCCCCCCTTTTCTAAATTTTTGTATAGGAGAAGGAAGTTTTGAATAAAGCATTTGTTGAAATTGATTTTAACAATTTATTGAGAATAATTTATTTTTCTGCATTTCATATTTAAAAATTTTTCTATAATTTCTTTTGCATCTAGTTCTTGACAGATTTCATTTTCAATGGCAATCAAAGCTAAATTTATGAGTCTTTCCTGCGATATACTTGAACGTAAATATGTTTTGATCAATTTTAATTTGGAGAATGAGCTTTCGCTACTAGCAACGCTAACAGGAATGCCAAGTAGTATTCTCAGTACGATCTTCAAGTTCGGGAAGCACAAATTATTTGACACAATTAAGTTCAAAATATCGAATGGGTCATTCATACCGGCTGTAAAAATGTCTTTCGAAGCTATTATTTCGTCATAGTGTTCTTCTGCGTTAATATCTTTATTGTCACCACACTGTAACAATTTTTCTAATTTATCACATTTTATTTTCAAATTTGCGTTATCGATTTCTGATAAATTACACAGGAAACTAAAATTATCGCAGTGTTTTTTCATTCCATCAAATCTTTCGTTTAATGATGTTCAAGCAGTATCCAAAATTCTAAAAAAGACATTTGCTCTAAACTTCTCTTCTGGAGATTGAGGGGATTCGTCAGCATGTTCGTAATCGAAGTGACATTTCTTTTTTCCTTCTTCAACAGTTTTAAATTGTGGCTCGCCATCCACTTCTTCACTAAGTTCTTTGGTTTTCTCAAGAATACTTTTGTAATTGATATCACTTCAATATTCTTCATCGAATGTTTTTAAGTTACTTCTTGCCTTTAAGGCTAGTGTAACACTCAAACCCTTTTCTTGCAATTGTTTGCTGACAGGATTAATTCTGTTAAGCAAATCGTGCCAAACTATCAAGGAACAAATAAATTTATAATCCTTGATTTTGGTACACAGACTTAGTGCTTCATGATGCCCTTCGTTTGAAAAGCATTCATCTTCGGATATTTCAAAGAGAGCATCATAGATTTCTTCTAGTTGATATCTTAAAGGTCGAATAGCTTCAATTTTGCTTTCCCATCGAGTGTTTGAGAGGGGGTTTTAAGGTTAAACAGGAAATGTTTTTTAAAAGAACTGCCCATCGCTTAGGAGAAGAAGAAAATAAATTGTATAATTCTTGAATTGTCGAAAAAAAAAAAAAAAAAAAACTAACTGTGTCTGCATTCACTTTTGCTGCATCGTTAATCATTAAATTTAAGCTATGAGAGGCACAAGGAACATAAAACGCACGAGGATTTATTTTTAAGATGCTATTTTGAAGACCATTTTTCTTTCCCTTTCATATTTGCGCCGTTGTCATACCCCTGGCCTCTTATATCATCAAGGGGAATGTTCCACATTTTCAACATTTCCATTACTGTCTCATATAGCCCGTTACCTGTAGAATCATCAACTTTTATAAATCCTAAAAAATGCTCCTTGATTTCTCCCACTCTATCACTGCAGAGAACAAAACGTATGACGACACTCATCTGTTCAGTTTTGCTAATATCGGGAGTACAATCTAAAATTATAAAATAATACTTGGCTTTTCGAAGAGATAGTAAGATTTTCTCTCTTATACTACTGCCAATAATTTGCAGCATTTCATTTTGAGTATCTTTGCTTAGATAATGAACTTTGCTGTTGCTACCTCTAGGTCGTAATACTCTGTCTATGTGAAATTCCATAACAGGGTCGAATTTTGCAAACAATTCCACTAATTTAAAAAAATGTCCGTTGTCTTTTTGGTACAGCACATCAGATGAGCCTCGAAAGGCTAAATTCTGGCTGCCAAGAAATTTTGTGATCTCAATCAGTCTCCCTAATCCTATTTGACCATATTTTTTTTTTTTTTTCATACATATCTTGTGTTTGGGAATCAATTGTTTTATTTTTCAAATTTTTCTCAAGCTCTTTCCATTTTAAGAAATTTTTCATATGTGCTCTACTAATCTCATGCCTATGCAAGGCTTTAGATACATTTAGCCAATCGTTATAGCCTTTTACGAGGCTACTACTGTCAACCGATGCATGCAAATATCTTGCAACAGAAGCAAAAAACAGAATTTGTACTTATAGAATATAATAGCCATGTACGGGGAACTAATTCTCCGTTTTCCATTTTTTCTGTTATAATATGTATCACTAAATTTACCTCCATTATTACTTTTCGGATACATTAAACCTTTCCTTTGAATAGGCCCCCATTTCAGACAAAGTCATTCTCACTTTGTCGCTAAGAGTTGGCCACTTTGCAGGATCATCAAAATCAATATAAAGAAAGGAATTTTCATTTATGCCAGTCTCTTCCATCGAATTACCTGGATAATCTCTAACTTCCGATTTATTTTAATACCATGCTTGGATCATCATTCTTTCTCTTCCTTTGGAGTTTCATCAGTCCTTTCAATAACTTCATCCAATGCAGCTGATGTTCTTTGGCTGGATGATGTCTGTTCCTTTGTAACTGATTCTGATGCTGATTCAGTGTGAGCATCATTTACGCCCGAAGAAGTCTTCATCTTCTTTATGAAATGAGACATTGCGTCTGCCTGCTTCTGTAGAGCAGCATCTTTCTCAGCATTGCGTTTACGATTCTGTGATTTCTTCTTTGTTTCCATGTTATCAAAATTTCACACTGAAATTTAAAAATTCAATTCTAAATTTTGAATAGCTATTCTTTGTTCTAAAAATAAGCCGTAACATCTGCTAAATATAGAATAAAGATGAAAAAAAAAAAATGAAGCTAATGAAAAAAATAAACTTTATGATACCTTTTTCGAGCGGTTGGGAAGTATTAGCATCTTTCTAACAAACGATAAGGAAAAGTTTGACCGTGTGGATGGGTCAAACTTAATACTTGCCAAGGGCTCTGTGTACAATGACCACCAAACCTCTCTCTCCAAAAACACTAGCTAAGTCTTACCTCAACCCAGTGTTTCTCAACCTTTCAGTATACGCGGCCCAATTTTCAGCCATAATTTTCATCGCCCCCCCCCCACATATTATAAAGTGTATGCAATTATAATGTATTTTGAGTATTTTTGGCGCTAAATCTTAATTACTAATTATTTACTACTTAATTAAACTACGATCTTAATTTTAAACTTAAAAATTACCAAGAATACGTAAATTTATTATTATTTGTCAACGTCGATCCTCAGCATTGACAAAACAAGAATCTGTTGCACTTTTATAGCTGTTCTGTCCACCATCTCAGATATACTCGCAGTTTCGCGAGAAGTTCCGACTTGTCTCGAACTTTCTGGAGTATCTGCGTGAATGTCTGTATGTCTACATATCTCTGCGTGGCTATATGCCGCTGCATGTCGCAAGAATTACCGTTTTCGGAGCCAAGATGCCGTCTCAAGCATTCGCAGATGTCACAAAATTTTTCTCTATAGGGAGAAGGAGGAAATTCGATAGCACCAGTTTTAATTCCAGCCAGTCTCATTCGAGTCTATCTTTCTGTCGCTATCTATTCTACCGGGAATGTTTATGTTATATGTTTTCGTGTTAATTGCAATTCACCGTATTAAAAATTCACGGCGGCAGATTTATGCAGAATTATGGATAGATTTTTAAGCCGGCGTAAGCGAGCATTAGACGATAGTCAAGCATCAACAAGTACACAGAGACGAACGTGGTTCCGAAAATAAAATCAAGAAAATATTCTCAAGAATACTTAAATTTTGGATTTACCAGTACTAAAGTAAATGAAGAACAAAGACCATTATGTATCATTTGCTCAAAAATATTGGCAGCAGACAGCATGAAACCTAATAAACTTCAAAGACATTTGGAAACCACTTCATAGTGAGTACGTCAACAAACCCAGAGAATTTTTCAAATTAAAATTAAAATCATATGAAAAGCAAAAAACATTTTTAAAAAAAAAAACATTGTCTGAATGAGAAAGCATTAATTGCTTCTTACAAAGTTTCATATAAAATAACCAGATGTAAAAAGCCTTACACCATTGGTGAAAAGCGTATTTTGCCAGCAGCAATTGAGATTGTAGAAACTATGTTTGGAGATAATTTTGCAAACCAATTGCAGTCCATATTTTTTTACGCAATGAAATGAGCGTCTTCTTTCTTTTCTTTTTTTTTTTTTTTTTTTTTTCCCGTCGAATTACTGATATAGCTGAAGATGTACAGTGTCAGCTTTTCTCGAAGTTGCGTGACAAATTATTTTCAATACATTTTGATGATAACATTTTGATGGCAACAGATAGTAATAAAGACGCTCATTTCATTGCCTATGTTTGATTTTGTATGATATGTCAATAGTAGAACTACTCATGATCTTGCTTTGTTTTTAGAGAATTTGTAATATATTTTTGGATATGCTTTAAAATTTACTGTATAACGTTTTTGCTTATAAAGCATCTTTAGGATCAATCTCTTTTTTTTTTTTTTTTTTTTTTTTTTTTTTTTTTCAATATGTAGATTCAAACTTAAGATCTAGTAACTAGGATAACATATTAATACGATTTAGGTATTTCACTTAATGTCCACTTGTGTTTATTATTTTAAAAAGCATCTTAGGATCTCGGATTGAATATTGAAAAATCTTTAAGGGAATAAAGAAAAGAAATAGCCCCTTTTTCTTCATATCATTGCACAGAAAAACATAATTATAAAGCAATATTTATTATATTAGAATTAACGTGTTGATATTAATTTTGTTACGAAATACTATATACGTTTTTTAATATTTAAGTAGTATAAATCAGTCTGCTTAATTTAAGCAATATAGACTAAGATAGAGCCTAAGATACATTTTCTTCTTTTTATTACGAAATGAAAATCATCTTGTGTTGAGCTCATTATACATGTTATATTTTCATTGATATTTTTCTGTGCATATGTTTCCGTTTAATTTTTCAAATTTTATTTCCGTATAAAAGTTCAGATACGTTTCAGTTTATTTAAATCTGCTTCGCTAAATTTATAATATCGCTCAAGTCTTATTTTATCTTCTGTTTGATAAATCGGTAGAAAAGTATTTAAATATTACGATACAATATAGCAAGTTATTAATCCTAAAATTCAAAATATTAAGTTGTAAAAATTAATTTCACTAGACTTTTGTGTTTGAAATAAAAAGTGACATAAATATGTGTGGATCGCCTTCGCTTGTGGCGTCACAAAACGATGGAGCAGGCCTGTAGATATCTAGTTGTCCTTGGATGTAGCCCCAGAAGCCAACTTAATATTAAAAATCTAATAAAGATTCTCAACGTTTTATGAAAACAACTGAATATAAAACTTCAGTTCTTTACTTCAGGCATCTCAGGCGACGTGCCTAGGGTAAGCTCATCAAGTGGCTTTTTATATACCTTTTGTCTTTCTGTACAAAAGAGTGCGCAAACACACCAAGATGCTTAATTGGGGAGTCTAGTCATTAAATAAATTGTATAAATGTTGAGAATTTGGGCTTAGACTATAAACACCGGCAACCTCCTCCCCCCCCTCCGAAATAGGAAATAAACTCTCTATACCAGTGTCCAGATAGCAAAATATCTAGCTATCTGTCCAAAACCGAAATTACCGATATTGCAACAGCGCCCACATTACAATAACAATAGTTTACTAGTTTATAAAATAATATGATCGGTGATGAAAAATATAACAACCTGGCAACTAGGTACCTAATCGCCTTTTATAAATTGCCGTGCCGTACACTTAGTACACCAGTTAGTGTGCTCCTGTCCGCCTTGAGTATCGCTGATTACTTGAACGATGAATATCTATCATAGTGTTTAAGGCGTCTTAGGTTAGGTTTCGCTTCTTATCTTGTTTACATTCTTCTGCATGCTTGGACAACTGAAAATTATACATCAGCGTAAGTTTTTAATAACCATGGAATTTAATACTGTGCTATAACTACTATTTCTTTAACTATAGGTAGATTAAAAAATCAATAACCAGGATGAGTAAGAAGGAAACGAAAGGCACATGTATTTAAATATGATTGCAGGCAAATGTAATGAGAATATTACAATTAACTTATGTAGTAATTCTTAAATACTTTGTAAAGTTTTTTTTTGGAGGGGGAGGAGGAAAAAACACTGGTCCGCGAAATTTTTTCTTAAGTTTTACCGGTCAGCGGATCAAAAAAGGTTGAGAAGCACTGCTCTATAGACTTTTGCGTTTTCGTCCATGCAAATCTTGCCCTCCCCTCCAACTCCCGTGAAGAAAATGAACAGTTGGTGCCTGTGTTCATTCTTACATATGGCAAAATGGGAAATTTTTCCTGATAGAGGGCTAATCCGTTTCCCCCCCTTCCCTCCCTCACAGAAATTTTCAAGAAAAAAAATCCGTATTTCACTGTATACATTTTAAATAAAAATATAATAAAACGATAAAATAAGGATAAATAGAAATTATATTAAGTAAAATAAAATAAGAACGTACTTCATCAAATGGACTTTTCTTATCCAATAGCAGTAAGGTTATTGTGCATCGAAAATTTTCTTCGCCAACCACTCAGTGACTCAGTAAATACGAAAATGGAATGTGTAGATCAGCGGTTCCCAACCGCTGTTCCGCGGCACACCGGTGTGCCGTCTGAAGCACCGTGGTGTGCCGCCGGGTCTGGGTGTCACGGTGCTGTTCGCCCGCTATAACTCCTCCCGTCACTCCCCCCGCCAGTGTCATAGGTGGTCACGGCGCTGTGCAGTGCTATAACTCCTCCCCTGCCAATCTTGACAAGTGTCCGCCGTGTCCCCGCCCCCATGAGACGCAGGCAGACGCCTCACACAGTGTCAGAGAGACAACGGCTGCTGTGAGGAGAGAGACACTGATACTGCAGTGATGGACAAGTTTTTGAAAAGGAAAGAACTGGGACTCTGAACAAAATCTGGAGCCAGATGAGAGCCCGAGTATGAGTGAGGGTCAAAGAAAGCAAAGATGGTTAAATTCTCTGGCGCAAGGCAATATAGCGAAAGCTATATTTCAGTTGGATTTTACTTTCACTGGAGATGAACACAAACCAACTCCACTGTGCGTGGTGTGTGTGTTGAAAAGCTAGCTAACAGTGCTATGGTCCCAAAGCAAACTTAAACGCCATCTCCAAACGAACACCCTTTGCTTCAAAACAAGAATGTGGACTATTTTGTTCGCCTGCGTGACAACATGGAGAACACAGACAACTTTTATGAGAAAAACAACAAGGTAAATGAAAGAGCTCTTAAAGCTAGCTATCAAGTTGCTGAACTTATAGCCAGACAAAAAAGTCGCACACTGTGGCAGAGACATTAATACTTCCTGCCTGCAAAGCTATTGTGAGGAGATGCTCGGACCTGAAGCAGCAAAGGAAATAGCCAAAGTCCCTCTCTCAAACAACACAATTTCCAGACGTATTAATGACATGTCTGCAGACATCGAAAGTGTGGTTTTGGAAAAGATCTGTATCAGTGAGAAATTTGCATTGCAACTTGACGAGTCTACTGATATCAGTGGACATGCTCAACTCTTAGCTAATGTGCGTTTTGTTGATGGTGATGCAATTAGAGAAAACTTCTTTTTTTGCAAGGTATTGCCAGAAAAAAACAACAGGAGAAGAATTTTTCGGGTCACATCAGAATACCTTGAAGAAGGAGGACTTAAGTGGGAAAACTGCACAAGTGTCTGCACCGATGGAGCTGCAGCCATGGTCGGGCGCACCAAAGGCTTTGTAAGCAGAGTGAAGGAAAGAATCCAGATGTGATTATTACGCATTGTTTTTTACCCACCGCGAGGCCCTCGTAGCCAAGACTTTACCATCAGCCTTAGTTCATGTGTTGGATGATGTTGTGCGCATGGTAAACATTGTAAAGTCACGACCCATGAAAAGTCGCATATTTGCAGCTTTGTGTGAGGAGATGGGAGCAAAGCATAAAACCTTGCTGTTTCATACGGAGGTCCGGTGGTTGTCGCGTGGCAAGGTCTTGGTTCGTGTGTATGAGCTGCGGGAGGAACTTAAAGTGTTTCTGACAAATGAGGGGTCAGATTACGCAAAGCAGCTTGCAAGTGATGAGTGGTGTGCAAGGCTGGCATACCTGGCAGATATATTTCATCATCTGAATGAATTGAACACCCGAATGCAAGGCCGAAATGAAAACCTGCTTACAAGTACAGATAAAATAAATGGATTCCGTTCAAAGGTGCAACTCTGGCATCAACACGTGGAAAGTGGCAATCTTGAAATGTTCACACTCACCGTGCAATGGCAAGGTGTTCACACTGCTGCACTGTGTGAGATAATAGTTAAGCATTTGAAAACTCTTGAGGAGAAGTTGTCATTTTATTTCTCTTCAGTCTCCACTGAATGCCTTGACTGGGTTAGGGACCCTTATAGCTCAGCATCAGTTGTTGGAAAGGAAATGACTTTACAGGAGCAGGAGGAACTAATTGAACTGAGACAAAATCGTGGTTGCAAGCTAAGATTTTGCTGATCTACCTTTGGACAGTTTTTGGTTGGATACTGCCAAGGAGTTCCCCCTTCTGGCAAACAAAGCTATTTTGACATTGCTCCCTTTTTCCACTACATATCTGTGTGAGATTAGCTTTTTAAGCATGATTGCTATGAAAACCAAATACAGAGAGAGACTGAGAACTGTTGACGAAGAGCTACGTGTGTGTCTTTCTTCGATTCCAGCCAGAATATCAGCTTTGTGTTCAGCCAAACAGGCCCAGGTTTCGCACTGAAAGTATTTTATAATTTTTCACTATTCTGTTTACTTAATATTTCATAATAAAGTAATTATAAAATACTTTCGTTGTGCTTATTTGATTCCTATTCAAGAGAATTACTTTATTATAGTCAATATAGGCACAGAGTTAATTTTTTAACATTTTCTAATGGTGGTGTGCCTCGTGATTTTTTTCCCCGCGACAAGTGTGCCTTGGCCAAAAAGGTTGGGAAACGTTGGTGTAGATGATACATAACACGTGGTTTTCTAGACACATGGAAAATGACCGTTATCTGGTACTAGATGCGCAGAAGGGTCATTGTGAGTAATGAACAACGTCTGCGTATGTAGTCGGTGTAAGTACAGTATTACCTAGATTTAAACTTGCTTACAGCGTGAATTCCCAACTCGAATTTCTTTGTATGATACTATCCCTGACGATTGACGGATGGGTGACAAGGCATTAATGGATGAGCTGGAGAGGAAATGTGAGGAGGGACAACACCTTCTGTTGTTTCCTACCTTCATGTTCTATTAGGAGGGGTTGGGAGGGGGGCGCGAACTCCCATGGTCCCTGTCCTGTGTAAGCATTCAAGAAACATTTTCTTCTTCCCCGATTAGTGCACATTCTTTTGCATTACAAAAAAGCCGTTCGCTGGTCGGCGCCCGCCTGCTAAGAAGGCCTTGCGGGCCCGCTTCCGCCGGCCCTGATGAGTGTAACGTCGTCAGCTATTTTCCCACGGGCTCCCACGAAGTCTGGGAAAAGGAGACTTCAAATGGGCGCCAGATGACCACCCTGATGACACGAATTCTTGAGGTCGAACGTGACCCCCAACAAAGTGCGGAAAGCATATTGTTTTTACGAAAGGTGAAAACTTTCATACAAGTTCTCACGGGTTGTGGAGTGTCCATTGTGTGTATGCGATAGACTGTCGCCAACTGCTTGTTTCTCGAAATAATTTAGATAGACCTCCCAAAAAGACGTTCTGAATTTTCCCACGGAAAATTTCAGTTTCTCAGGCTGTCAAGACAGTATCTGAGAACAAATCATCGCCTGTTAACCAATGGAGAGATGCTCCGAAAAAGACGTTTAGCGAATCACTGCAGCAGACGCACAAGACACGCCCAGAAAACCTGGACATAAAAACAGTGAGTGGAAATAATTAGAGAGTTTTTTTTAGTCTGCGGAATACGCAGTCGTTGCGTAGAGAAGAGAGAGCCTTTCTCTTTTATTTTACGGCTCTTCCCGAGTCGCTAGTAAGCTTTAGAGGGCCCCTTTCTCTCTTGTGTATTTTACGGCTCGTCCCGAGTCGCTACTAAGCTCTGTCAAGAGCGAAAAAAGAAACCCTCAAAGAAGCGTAGCCGGACTTTTTCTCCGCTACCTCTGTTTGAACTCAAGTGATTATCGTTTCCTATTGCAAACGGACTGTTTTACTAAGCAAACTACCTTGTTATGATAAGCAGTTGACTTACCTTCAAATTCAATTTGTGAAATTTAACACTTACCTTTATTCACGCTACCAATAATAAAAACCTGACGGTTCAAAAATCGCTACAGCTAGAAGGTATGTGTTAATTGGTGGCAGCGGTGGGATCGTAAAAACCCAATAGACAAACAAAGACGTGATCGTTTTGGAGAACCGTCCCGGTTCTTATCTTCATTCAGAATCAGCCGATTCTAGCAGTGGAAAAGAATTCTTTCGCAGTAAAGTTTGGAGAGTTTAACCAGCAGCTGAAAAGGGATCACCAATGAGAAGCGTTCGTGAAGAATCAACTACTACAAAGACTAGTTCCGGAAGTGCCTGGGAAAGAGTGTGAAGTAAAATTCTCCCTCGGGTGTAAAGACAAAACATAAGAAGTCCAGACAAGAGTGAAGTGTTGTGAATTCGCGTTTGGTGTTTACCACCCTCTGTGCAGTGAAAGTGCTTTTGGTGTTTAGTGAAAGAAGAATTGCCCAGTCGACTATTGTTCAATTGGTTTCCTTCTTCGGTCATTGAATCGCGTGTGCAAATAGAAAAGAAAGGAAAGAAGAGCTGTTATTTTTTTGTCTGCAATGGGTAAGTTGATATGGCATTATCTTTTTAAAGAGGCATTTTAATGGAGTTTGTCTTTTGTGTATCTAAATTATATGTTTAAATGGTTACTCGTAAATGTTTTGTTTTTGATGAGTAGAGAATTTTATAATAGTATTTTCAACCTTTAGAAAGCACGCATCAGTTGTAAAATGAGTCACATGCTCTTTGTGACTAATATTCTTTGCCAATAAGTATTTAGCAATTTTTTTTATATACTGCATTAAGTATGGTTATGTGTTAAGCTGCAACAGATTATTTAAGAAATGCTTAATTTACTTTAATTTTTTTTCCTATGTTGCTAATGGTACGTATTTTATGTCATACATACCATAAATTGCATTGCTATGTTGTTTTACTGTAGTATTTCTGGATAGTGTGAAACTTTCAGAGTAGACAAACTGGTACCTTTAGTTTTATTTTATTGTATCATTTTAAAATTTTGTCACTGGCAAAATGTCATATCTTGGCAAGGGTAGAAAGCAAGACCTCATAAATCTGTCTGTAGAATTAGGTCTAGAAGTTCCCCCAAATGCAAAAATACAAGATCTTAAAAACCTCATTGTACAGAGCTCTCAGTATGACGAAAAATTCGTCGAGGCAACACTAGAGTCGATTATCGAAGCGCGAATCGAACAACATAGACTCGAAGAAGCCGAAGAGCGTAAACTTGAAAGGGAAAGGGAGAGAGAATTTGAATTAGAACGTCTAAGGTTGACAAACGCCAATAATGGCAGAGAAAATTCTCAAAATAATATTCCGAGATCTATGAGAGATTTGCAAAATTTAATGCAGAGATATAATCCCGAATCATCGGATATTTCGCTTTACTTAGCGATGTTTGAGCG